CCCCCCCCCCCCCCGGGGCTTATGGGTGGGGCCAAAGGAGCTAACTGTCCTGTATGAAACTCTCCATTATCTAACTCTCCTGTACTAAGGTCCATTATCTAACTCTCCTGTACTAAGGTCCATTATCTAGCTCTCCTGTACTAAGGTCCATTATCTAACTCTCCTGTACTAACATCCTTTTTACAGATCTCCAGTACTAAGGCCCATTATCAAACTTTTCTGTATTAATGTCCATTATCTAGCTTCCAATAGGTCTATTATATATCTAACTTTCTTTGCCTGCCTCATTGATGTAAACAAGTTATAAACTGATTTTGTGTCTGTTGGCAGGATGGTAATACACCAAAGCAGTGCCTCAAAATGAAGGGCCACCCTAGTGTTCCAGATGAGTGCTTTAGCCTTTGTCATTCGTTTTTCCTCTGTAAACGATCAATGGTAAATGACTGTTTCTATTATCGCTATAAAAAATAAAAGTTGATAACATATATTTTTTAAGGACCATCAACCAGTCAAGACAAAGTCACAAAATTTATATATCTGTTATTAGATTATGATGTAAAGAATACTGCTTATTAATTTTAATGTTCAGAGAAAAAATAATCAAAGTAACTGGATTTGTAAAATGTTTATATATTTCATTTATGACTTTTTTTGTATTATTCTTAGATTCTTTTTTGCTTTTGTAGGTTGATATGAGAGCCAGATTTCGTGGAAGAAGTGGAGTGGATTATGATGCAATACATTATGGACCCAAAAAAGACGAATGACAGCAAAGACGATCACTTGTTATTTATCCTATGTACTTTTTGTGAGTCCTGCACTTGTAGATGTGTCAATTATGTCCTATATAACTAAATAGCGTAAATGAAAAGTGAAAGATTTATCAAATGTTCTTATAGAAATGTGACAAATCTGCATTATATATGGAAACAGCTCATTACTATCTCTTTGTATCAATAAGGACACTAAAAAAGTGGTTCTTTGAAGCAGGATTTTGTTTATACAACTTAATGGTGAAGATGAGAGTTGGTTTTAAAACCTGTACGAATCATTGATTATGACTTTGTAAATAAAATCATTTTGTGATACAGAGTTCTTCTGTTATTATGGTATGGGCTGCATTGACTGATGTCCGTCAACTTTTCCTTGTCATCGCTCTCCTGCCTTCATTCATGAACATTATCTTGATGAAACTTGGTACACATATTGTGATGAAACTTGGTACACATATAGCATACCAATAAAGCTCAAATGAGTTTGCATTTAAGAAGTTTACATGCATTTTTGGTGGAGTTATGCCCCTTTTATTGCCAAATAAGGGCATTGTGTAGTAAGTCCAAAGGACCATGGTGAGCTTATGCCATACCGCAGCGTACGTCCAGCCGTAAACTTTTCCTTTAAAAAAGCTACTAGTCCTGAACGGCTAAGAAGATTTTGACTAAATTTGGTCTGGAGCATCCTTAGGCCATGGAGTCTCAATTTTGTATAAACAGTGGGTGTGGCCCCCCTGGGGTCAGAGGGACAGTGCCAAACAATGGAAATAGAGGTGAAACCTTTAAAATCCTTCTTCTACAGTAGGGATTAAGGGATTTTCTGTAGGAATGACAGGATTTTGTCCAAACTTGGTATGAAGTATCCTTGGGTGAATGGGAACCAATTTTGTATAAACGGTGTGTCTGACCCCCCTGAGGGCAGAGAGGCAGGCCAAATAAGGGAGGAATAGCTTTAATATACTTTTTTTCTTCCATTAGGATGAAGGAATTTGAACAGTAGCATCCTATGGGGAAGGGAAATCAATTTTGTCTGACCCCCCTGGGGCCTGAGAGGTGGTGCCCAATAGAGGTAATTTAGTCAATTCTTGAAAATCATTCTTCTGTAGGAAAAACAGGATTTTGTCCATATTTGGTCTAAAGCATCATTGGGTTAAAAGGCGACTTGATTTTGTATCAAAGGTGGGTCTGACCCCTGACACCCCCCCCCCCCCCCCCCCCCCCCCCTCTGGGCAGAGGGGCGGGGCCCCATAGGGGAAACGTAGCAAATTCTTCAAAATACTTCTTTTCCTGTAGGAATGACAGGATTTTGTCCAATTGCATATAAATATAACTCGTGACTAACCATGTAATACATGTACACTACCAGCAACATCTAGCTATTCCAACTTCAATTTTACTAAAATTTCCAGGTGAGCGATACAGGCCCTCTGGGCCTCTTGTTTTTTAATCAATTCCTTTTAAATTTGGTATGGTATTGCTTGAAGCTATAATGTTCAACATCTATTACAGGTTTTTCTGTCAAATTTCAACTTTCCACGTTTTGGCGTATCACACTTGACATAGCTACACTGTACTTTATTTTTGACGTTAACTTTTGCTTGTTTACGTGATAACTCTAACAATTGTTCTCTGATTTTAATTGAACTACTTGGTTATTTCATTATCTGAATGCTTTGAATGAGTTTTTAAATCGTGACATTTGAACGCTTTTTAGAGAGTTATGCCCCATTTTCATTGCCAAATAAGGGCAGACCGCTGAAAATGCAAGAACTTTTTAATTGTTTGTTCAAGACTCCTACCTCAAAGCCAAGGTTCTAGTTGTAGTAATAGCAACAATGACCACGATAGCGTAATTCTGAAACACAAAATAGCTAGTGTCATTAACACAGTAAATGAATGGCAAGGTCAGTCACCAACAAAACGGTGGCAGTAAACACAATTATATCATATCACTACCTGCTTCCAATATATCAATAGTTTTTCACCCTTCCGAGGGTCTGACAGGCGTGTTATGCTTCCGCTCGCGGTGATCTGTTCTTATTGCTGTACAGAAATAGTATATTGTTTTTACGAACCTTTGAATTGTTAAGGCTCTGCTTTTTGATAATACTGGTGCTCTATGATAATCACCTAGATGATCTGTCCCTCTATTCATTTCCCTTTTCGCATGATAACTTTATGATTTCAATAAATATTTATAAGCATGGTCGATGTAAAATAACTAAGACTGAGTTCAAATTTGAGTAAAATATATTATATTCAGATAAATTAATAGAAACTGAATGAAAGAGATTCAAAATTCAAACCATTATAGCTTTGCCTAATGTGAAAGGATTAATATAAGTAAATATGAATTTGAAGATTTAAAAGGATTTTTTTTTTAAAACTAAGTCCTTTTGCGACAGCCAAGGAACATGAGAAAAAAATACCTTACTGGCCAGAAATCTTTTCCAGTGATGCGATGTAACCCTGGGATGTGCTCAGTAGTTCAGCAACATTGAGCATGGACCTTTAAGTGATCATTCTTAACTCATTGACCCCTGAAGACACATTTGAACTCTTCCAATTCAAAGGTTGGAATAGTTCATTGAATTATCAGGGGTGAATGAGTTAAACTTCATCTGAATGTGCTTCTTTACTAAAAGTGCTTGCTTTTGATTTCTTTTTGAGAGCTGCGGCCAAAGTCTTTAGGAAACAAGCTTACCGTATGTCAGGAATCTTTCGCTCATTTAAATTTTTGCCCTTTACTCTGTGAGGTAGATCTGTTTTTCCTGAAGTGTTAATTTTGCCCTTCACATGTTATAACTCCATGTATAGTATGTTGCGTACATATTTTCACTGACATGATAAATTCACCCTCAATACAGAGGGCAAAAAAGGCAAAAGTTAAACTGAGGCAAAACTTCCTCGGTGCACGTATACAATATTTAGCTTGTGCATTAGGTACTGCTATATGATGGAAGAGCGAGGACTGGATTAGGTAGAACTCTGGTCATAGTGAAGCTCACAGATGACTTCACAAACAGCAGCTTTTGGACCATCTTCAAAATTCAATACTCTCAATACATTTATCTCCTCCACACGCTTGGAATATGTCATGACAAAGTTGAAGTCTTTGAGTTTTAATATCCTTTGATGTCCACCAAAGGAGTTGTGCAGTAGAATAACGGTTAAATTGACCAGCTTATAAGTCTGGTGTGGCTGCTCTGTAACATATTAAGGACAGGTATCAGCCTAGTGACTGGTCAGTTTTACTTTTTCGGGGCAGAGGAGCCCAATAGGGGAAATAGGGGTAAGTTTTTAAAATATTGCTCCTTCTGTGTGAATGGAGGGATACATGTATTAGAAATTGATCTAGAGCATCTGTAGGCAACTATCACATAACTAGCAAATCAATTTTGTCATGACATATTCCAAGGGTGAAGAGGGGACTAGAACAACATTTAGGATTTCATAGAATGCCTTTTTACTAGTTACGCAAAAACAACACGATACATATTTAATACACTTCAGTGTATCTTATAGATACACCTTCACCTTTATTGTTAAATTATGCTGTGTTACACTCGTTAAACAATCTCACAGTCCTACCACTGTACATAACAGTATAATACCTTAACAAACAATAACAAGAGATCCGCCCGATCTGAATAATATTTCAGGGACATATTATATAGATTCTCAATTCATCAAACACCTCCTGACTATCTAATGGTGTATTGGAAGGTTTTACAGGTACATGTGTTCATCATCTAACTAATGACATTTGTCTCAACATGAGGATTCCATGTCGCTGTTTATGAGTTCAAGGTAAAGGGTAGCACTGCTTTAGTATAATAATGTGAAGAAGAGTTCTACTTCAGACTTTCAAAAATCAACTTGGAGTATTCTCTTATTCTTAGAATTACTTCCCTTGGCAAACTATTTAATCTTTCAATTTGATATTTGGAATTACAATTCCTTGATCGCAAAATTGGTTAAGTGAAAGAGCAGCAATGTAATGGTCTCAAAATTAACCCCTAAAATTCCTTTTTCCTTTTTTGTTTTGTTTCCAAATAATTCTCCCATTTTCAAAGAATTGTAATTATCGAAAATGCATCACAATATCTTTTTTTACATTTTTGCAGAAATTGCCCTAAATTAATTGTTCCCAATCATGCCAATGGTAAGAATACATTTATGAACTTTATGGCACTCTTTACCTTAATTAGCCATGGTTACATATTAGTTACAATGTTAAGTCCATACCCAATATAAAGCTTAATTTAACTTCTGGCCCCAATGGATCATGAGTTCAGACATTTTTCAGTACAATTTTGAAATGTGTCTTTACATTGTCATATCGTACATGTGAATTTTTATGGTCCTTTTCACCAAATTAGACTTACTTTTAGGAGAAAATGTTTATTTTATTGGTTTTTGAAAATAGTCTATGAATGAATTCATGATTCTGAGACCATTGCTTAATATAATAAGGTAATGTTAATTATCTAAAACTTGTGCCCATCAAAAATGATCCTTGTCTAATCAAACTGTTCTCGTCAAATTAGTATCTACAGTTCCGATCATATTATGTTTATATTAAACTAGTATCTACATTAATCCTTCACAAATCATTAATCTTTAATTTGTAGCATGTCTCTGACAATATCTGGACTCTATCATTTCAAGGGAGACAATAATGTTTCATTCTGTATATATACAATGTAGTTGCACATCACTACCTGGACCATAAAGAAAAAGAGGCAACTTCAAGTAGTTACAATAAAGTGGTCATTACTAATTATATTGAACAATACATTAAGTTGTATATTTAAAACAGTTTGGCATTTAAAAAAAATAAAATAAGGATCCCTGTCCCACTGCACTGTAGTTGTTCGTACAGTAACCTCCATTTAACTTCTGTTTAGATATCACTGTTACAGAGTTGCAGTGATGTTTCCATTGACCAGGAAGCTGTCAGTTATAGCAACAGTATAACAATCTGAAGTCCAGGGTTTGAATTTTTACACTCCGAACACTGTTGTTGATTGTATTTTGTCTATTTAATCTTTTTGTCTCACAAATGTCCCCCAATGTATGGTTTTCATTTAGAAATAAGTTATCAAAGCTATAGTCATGGCTGAAAAAGCAGTTTCAATATGCGTATTTACATTTTTGGCAGTGGTACAGGCGGGATCCTTAAATTATTGAATCAGTGATGTGCCTCCTGAACGAAGGGCCTAGAGAATTTCAATAACCATATGCAAACATTCTCCGTAAAATGGATCATTGTTCAATAAAATAAATTAATCAAGCGACCAAATTCAAGAAATTGCACAAACCTTTATTGAGCAAGATAACAAAAACGTAATTCACTTGAACAGCTTAATTTGAAAGCAGTGAAAATATTAAAAAAGAAAAACTGAAAATAAGGATATGTATTTCCCATCCATTACAGCCATATGAATAACTTTAACATAGGAATAACCTGACTTCCTTCCTTCATCATTTTGCAAACAAAAGCATACTTCATTGTACTAAGCCTTTCCTTGTCGGCAAACTAAAGCTCTTAATTCAAATTTTACCTTACATGTACATGTATTACTTGTGTACAATACGTTGCCGTTGTGTTTGGCACTTCTTCCAATGAAAGACTTCAATATTCACCACATACTTTAAAGAGGTAATGATTAAATCGGAAAGTGTTATATGCAATACCTTCACCAAGGATTCACAAGATGAATGCAATCATACTTGACCGTCTTTGAAATCCAGAAGTTGCAGTATCATGTGGTCTCTGCAACCATGAATTTTCTCATGAAAGAATTAAAGGCTCACAGAAACAAATAATGTATAAAATCTGTTTGATTAGTTCCAAAAAGAAACCCAAAAAAAACCCAATTACATGGATGATATATCATGTATCATGTGTACTTTTTATATAAAAAAGCTACTTTCAAATCAAAGTTGTTCAATTTAACCATTATGCTGCTACATGATTCACTTTTATCTTCCATCAAAGCATTACTCAGAGATCATAAGTATGGGCGACAATGAAACAGTTTCAAGTCGACTATTATCCTCCACAGGGTAGTGTGTACAGAGACGTTTGATCTTATCAGGAGAACATCCAAGGAAACAGCAGATGTATGACATCAGCAGAAATCTTTGGACTTTCAAAGATGACACTAAATTAACAAGCCATGTATTTTATACATTTCTACACGTTTGTGTGTGCATGTGTGTTATTATTTAATACATGTACTGTATATACAAGGGAATTTTCACCATAATTAACCCTTTCACCCCTAGGTAACTTTAGAAGACTCTACCATACATTTATCTGGGTGAGTCCATTATGGTCTGCAGTGGTGAAAGGGTTAAACTTGAGCCTTTTTTGGCCCTCCATAATGAGGGACGGTTCATCCTGAGAGCAAATATTAATATGGAACATACCATATAGGAAGCTGTTGACGCTGGCTTAAATTTATTTCACAATTTTGATCCAAATTTAAATTTACACCGATCATAATTTTGGGATATAGACATTTGAAGGAACTAAATTTCCGCAGTGTTTTAGAACAGAACAGGGACACTCTGCATATAAAGTGTCAAATAGTCATTGAGTAACAACAAGTGTATTTTGTAAACCAATTATGAACAAAATTATTAGAATTGTGATATAGCCTATTTTCACACAGTATTACTCTTTATGTATAGGAATCGTCACAATCACATGCGCGCTATTTCATGACGACATTATGAAGTTTATTATCACGGCTCATTTTTACACGTCTTATCATTTTGAAGATCATATTTTTTGTGATCACATTATTGACCTATCTTGAAATATCTTGCTGTACAGTATTATATAATGTCATTGAATATGAATTGATAAGAGGTAAGAGGTAAAAATATTAACTTTACCAGTCAAGGGCGAAAGGTTCCGCATATACAGTATTTGTGTTTTGTCAGTGTAATAAATGTGAAAAAAGTACATACATATATACTCGCCATACAAACATGAATAAAATCTGGGTAAAAATTCTGAAAATAAGCACAACCTTACTCTTCAAAGGTATATGAGAAATATACCCAACCTCAGAGGTATAAATGCCAATTGGCAGATCTTGAAAGAAAAATTCCTTTAGAAACTTTATATTTCAAATAATGTTATTGAAAATTTTCTCTAGCCCTGCCACAAAATCGACTTGCTCTGGGAATCGGGCTAGAGAAATTATCCACCTCTGATTTTTATAACCATTCATCATTAAATCTTATCTTATCTTCCCCGATCGGATGTGATAAGGTATGGAGCTGTCACCTGTCCGACACATGGCTTTTCTCCAGGTGCTCCAGTTTTCTCCAGGTGCTCCAGTTGTGCTCCAGTTTTCTCCAGGTGCTCCAGTTTTCTCCAGGTGCTCCAGTTTTCTTGGGTGCTCTGGTTTCCTCCCACATTAAGAGACATGCACACAAACAACCAGGCCAACAAGAGTGATTAATATAAGTTGAAATGACTTGTTTCATAACTTTGTAAAATAAATAAAATTTCATTTAATCACCTTCCACCTAGATAGGACTTTGCAGTGTATCAACTGCAATACGACTGACCCATACTTTATAAATTTGTATTGTACAAGCCATTGTTATTTCATTACAACAAAAGAAACATGATATTACTGATTCAAAATATGGTAGAATCAATTGAAACCCGTCTTTAAACTTATTCAATTGAATCATTCCAACACTCACAAACACTGATTCATAATACTGGTTCTACACTCACAGTTTCAACCCCAGCACTGTTTCAACTACCACAGTTTCAACACCCAATACTGACTCCACGCTCATGGTTTCAATGTCCACACAGATTCCCCCCACCCCCGACCCCATCCCATTCAATGTCCATTCCAACATACACAGAGAACCTTGTATAATAATAGTCCTCCCAATATCAACAAGTATTATCAAGTCGGCTACTCTCGCTACTAGGCCGATATATATACCTACAGGTAACACTATTTCTCTCTCTCACTCTAAGAATAATCCAAATGCTGTGATGCAAACAATAGAATTTTGACTGAAGATGTTTGAGAATGAATATTCAACATGACCCGATTCCACATAATGAGATGTGGCTCAAAAATGAAGAATTCTCATGCATATGCATGTATTAAGAATTCTGTGAATATGTATTACAAATTATGAATATGTATGTATTAAGAATTATCACATCATGAATATGTATATATTTAAGAATTATCATATCACGAATATGTATTAAAAATTGTTATACATGTATCATGAATATGTATTTATCAAGAATTATATTATCATGAATATGAATTTATAAAGAATTATGATTTCATGGATATGTATTCAGAATTATCATATTTTGAATATATCATATTTTGAATATGTACATACATGCACTGAGGTTCAAGCAAGTATGAATATATATCGTAGTAAGACATAAATAATTTAAATATGATGTGATGCAGTGAAATGCCAGATATCACACAAAAAGACTGATTAATCAGTCACGAATATTCAATATATGTTAATTACATGAATGTGCCAGAATATATTACACAATTTTAACTATATATGCTCAAAACATGAAACAAACTGCAATACTTAAAGGTAAAAATTGTCATTATGCCATTGGGAACATGTATAATACCAAGATTCATCTACAAAAACCAATATACAATGCAAACAATTCAATGTAATTGCATTTCAATATAGCATGATTCACACACAAAAATTAGAATACAATATTTATTGTTTTATGCACATTTAATTTCACAAACACACTTTTCTGTTTTACTTTTGGGGGTTATAAATTTGTATTTCATTCAATTCATACATTCTTTATGTATAAATATTTGTGTTATTCGTGAATTTGCGATTAAAGCAAAAAGCGAATTCACATGATATATCATGTAGAGTATTTTCATTACCCTGATGAGGCCAATACAAAGCTTAAGGGACATGGAAGGATAGTGGAATCGTTACAGTAGGTATCTATGACAATCTAAAAGTTAACCAAAAATAGTGGAAAGACAACATGAGAATAGATATTTCAAATAAAAAATAGAGCTGTTGGTTGAAAACTACTTGTATGGGGAAGTTTTCCAGTGAGATCATTACATGGGCAGTATATGTATACATAAGTTTTAAAGATTTCTTTTTTAACTGTGCTACGAGTCAACTTTCATAAGTGCAGTAAGTATTTAATCACATGTACAAGTTGGTGATAATCTTACAGTCGACAGTTCACTATCACATGAATGTCACTTGATTGTCACATGACTGTCACATGACTATCACATGACTGTCACAGAATATTTTCAGTCTCTGTTCCATACAAAGGAACACCAAAATATATGTACACTGTACAACAATTCAACAATACACCAACTGTTGGTTATCTCAATATGTACAAGTATATACCATCATACACAATACTCCATATCAGATAATTGTATTATACACAAATAGATACAAAATGTACAGAATTAATATGGGAACAACATCGAAACACAAATCCAGGTTTAAGTTGTTTCGCTATAAATACCTCCACAATATCAGTTGTTTCACCCTAAGGGATTTTTAAGGATTTTTTAAAAGTTATATCATGTATCAAACGATTTAAGTCTTATGATACTGTTTTTGTGTTTAACAAAGAAGCATTTTACTAGAAGAACTTTGGATATGCTATGTGGAGATTTGATCAACCATGTTCACGTCTAAATATAAAACTGTTGAAGAAAAAATGTGACTGCATCAGCCTGAAATTTTTTCGCAAAACAATCGACTGTAAAAACATAACTCCAGAATGTTTCACTTTAAATTCCCTTGCAATATGCATGGGTTGTATGACCCTAAATCTTGTTTGCCCAGGGACTTTTAAGGAGTTTTTTTTAAAGATATAAATAACATTTTGAATGTTGAAAGTTAGTAATGTAAACAAAGACATAACATGAATCCTTATGGTACAAAGAAGACCAAGGAAGAAAGGATGCATAAGCTACTCACTACTAAACAGGCTAGAAAAATGTTTTGTCCTAGAAATAATTTGAGAGCAAAACTATCTAAGGCAAAATGACCTGGATCACCCTCAAATGGGATTTGGGGCAATATGACCTGATGCCTCGAAATACACAGAAGCTTTGATATCCAGAAAACTTTGTTCCAAACAAAAGTGGTCACAATACTAGATTAGTGTTGGTAGCTGGATCAACGAACATCAACTTTATACTCCAACATAACACTTCCACCATAAATGACCATGTTTGATTTCCAGATTGGCTACAAATTTCTCTAACCTGGGAAACAACACAATTAACATTATGTTCTTGTCAATTTTATTTAGACAACCCAAATCACACACTAGATTAGCAATGTCCTGAAAACATGACCAGTACATCCTGTTTTAGACCCAGAATAAAACAATTGAAGGTCATTCAAATATAACTTTGGTCATGTAAGAAAATGTTCGCCTCTAAATAAATAACAAAAGTTAAACTGCTAATTATTAACATTTCCCATGACAGGAATTGGGATTAGTTAACTATGTACAACAACAAAACTATATGAATCATACAGTGAATATCATTTATCTGAACACATTAACATCATGGATATCGGCTTCAGAGCACCCTTTTTCAGAAAAATGTGACAAAATTTTCTTTATTTTGAAATAATATGTGGTTCTTCCTCTTTTTAAAGATATTCCTTCGAATTTGTTATGTTTCCAAAAGTTCTTTGACTTTTATCTGAAACATGAGAATCTTTATTTTCTCAAGAGAAGAGGTACATACCTACATCTTTCGCCAAAATTTTCTTTTTTTCTCAGATAATCTAAAATCAGATTCAGTAAAACATCATTATAATGATGAACTTGCCTTGACTACTAAATTTATTTTTGAAACTTCATTTTTCATATTTATTCATCAGCAAAATGTCAACAAAATCGGTCGAGTCTACCAACTGAGTATATATAAGTGAGTCTTCATTAATGACATTTGGCTATAAATGAAATCGCTGTAAACTTATCAATAATGGATTCAAATTTATCAAACATAAATTTGGTGAAAATCCAACTTTTTAACTTTCTAATTTCTTTTTTATTTTAGTCCAAAGTTCATTCCTCGCGCCCTTAGATTTCCAATAACCACCATCAAGTGAAAACATTATGCCAAATATAATTTTGCAATTAAGTCCAACAGAAAAAAAAGAGTAGTTTCGACTAAAATCTTCAATTCAAATGAGTGCCATATTTTTTTGGTAAAAAAACCCTGTAAAATGTCTTTAATGCATGGAATTTTGCCTTAAATTATTACTTAATAGCAAATATTTGAGAAAAATATTACAAAATTATATGTATTACAATGATTAAATAATTTTTGAATAATTAAAAATCTATGAAGGGAGCTTACTCTCATGCAAATCACAGGAAAGTAGCATATGTCTTTGATGTGTCATTAGTGAAAGGAAGTTTGATAAATCTAGTTACTGGCTTGCAAGGCTGTCACTAAACCAATTTTATCATATCAAATCTTTAAATACTGAATACGCTTTTAAGTAAACCAAAAAGGCTTTGATATATATTATATAGATTAAAAAACTAGCAACATTTAAACCATGTCTAATGCTGTCCAATAAAAAGACAGCAACTGTTCTCAAAATGTCTGCCTTACATGTATCAGCTCATTATGGGTTGAGGTCATGAGTATTTTTTTTTAATAAAGTCATGGTATTATATAGTTATTCAACCATCTTTGATCTCACTAGATTTATATTAATACGTTTTGTACAAATATCGACAAAACAGCTTTGAAGGAACAAACAACCTTCCCCAAAATTTTTGATAAAAAACTTTCAGAATTTTATTTCTGGGAGAGAGTGTGCAGCACAAACACAGCCTTGATAGATTTGTGTAATGACCCTCTGCTTACATAAAACACAGCCAGGAAGGAATCTAGCAAACCTGTCATCACATTTGGAAAAAGCCTGTGTTGTGGTATCACAGAGTTGGATGTGGATGGTGTAGTGCGACACAAGCTCATTAGGAGTACATATACACAGTAACACAAAGTAGTGCAGCCAAACCTGCTTTGAAAGGCCACCTCTATAAAGGGACCACCTGTGTGAAGAGGCCACTTTGAAATATTTCCCAATGCAGCTAGTTTCATATTAACTGCATATGTATAAAGTGACTGCCTACTAAGATAGACAACCTGTATTAGGAGGCCACTTTTTGTCTTTTCAAGGGTGGTCCCTGAATACAAGTTTAATAGTTTATATATCTAAAATGGAGTCAACACCATCACCCTTCAAAAGATCATCCTCTGGTATGATGACTATTTGTTGTACAAGACCCAAGTGTTTATGGTCATGTCACTATTTATTCGTGTGTCAAGGAAATAAGGTGAACCACTGCACTTTAACATTTGGATGTCTCCTTATTGACATCCTCCTGTCTTCCTCCATGTTTCTTCCTTGTAATACAAGTAGTGAGTATACATTTCATAACATTTGTAATTCAGTTCTGTCATTTTCAATCTTCCTCCTCATCCTCCTTTGGTTTTTCCTTGAGGACGATGATGAGGTTCTGGATGAGCAATGAAGTGAGTTTGTCCATGGGGTCGAGGAGACCACGCTGCATCCACTTCGGAATGGTGACCCTGGCATGAGTGAAGCCAAGTTTCTGTAGTACATAGTCAACTCCGACAGGGTCAATCTGCTTACTGGCCCAGTGTAGTAACCTGTGGATAAAGGTCAAGGTCATAACAAGGTCAAGGTCAAAAGGCTATCTATCATCCTCATGTTAACCAGGCAATGCTGGTTGTTTTTTATATAGGTTTCAAATTACTGTATACTCGGCAATTGTTGTGGTAGTTTTATTTTCACCCTTTTTTGTGGAAGGATTTTACTGCAAATTCAACAAGAGGCCCAATGGGCCTGCATCGCTCACCTGGTATAAATCTCACACTTGTAACCTTAAAGTGAACTAAAATAAAGCTACAGGCAAAATATTAGTGTTTATGAAAACAAATCATTCAATAGAACCTGTCATTTTTTTTAAAAACATTTCACCCCTGTTATTGAAAGTCGAACAAGGTCATTATGTTGAACAAATTGTATAGCCTTTCATCTCAGGATGCAACTTGCAAAATATGAACATTCAACAACCCATGGTTATTCAGAAGAGGTCATTTAGGGATTTTAAACAAATTTGACCCCTGTTACCTTGAATATAAGCCAAAGTCATTCACTTTAACAAACATGGTAGTCCTTGATCCAAGCATGCTACTGACTAAATATCAACATCCTGGGCCTTTTGGTTATTCAGAACAAGTTGTTTAAAACATTTTGAACATATTTGCTCCTTGTGACCTTGAATATGATTCAAGGTTGTGCATTTAAACAAACTTGGTAGCCCTTCATCCTAGTATACTACTGACTAAATATCAACATCCTGGGCCTTTTAGTTATTCAGAAGAAGTTGTTTAAAAGTATTTTTTAACAATTGACTCATGTGACCTTGAATATGGGTGAAGGTCATTCATTTGAACAAACTTGGTAGCCCTTAACCCCAGCATGCTTCTGGCCAAAAATCATCAACCTAAGCATTTGGTTTATTGAGAAGAAGTTGTTTAAGGTTTTTAACATATTTGACCCCTGTGACCTTGAATATGTGTGAAGGTCATTCAATTGAAAAAAATTGGTTGCCCTTAACCCCAGCATGCTTCTGGCCAAATATCATCACCCTAGGCATTTGGGTTATTGAGAAGAAGTTGTTTAAAGTTTTCAACATATTTGACCCCTGTGACCTTGAATATGATTGAAGGTCATTCATTTGAACAAACTTTTTAGCCCTTCATCTAAGCATGCTACTGGCTAAATATCATCACCCTAGGCATTTGGGTTATTGAGAAGAAGTTGTTTAAAGTTTTCAACATATTTGACCCCTGTGACCTTGAATATGAGTGAAGGTCATTCATTTGAAGAAACTTTTTAGCCCTTCATCTAAGCATGCTACTGGCTAAATATCATCTCCCTGGTCATTTTGGTTATTGAGAAGAAGTTTTTTAAAGTTTTTAACATATTTGACCCCTGTGACCTAGAAAATGGGTGAAGGTCATTTATTTTAACAAACTTTGTAGCCCTTTATCCCAGTTTGCTTCTGGCCAAATATCATCACCCTATGCCCTTTGGTTATTGAGAAGAAGTTGTTTAAAGCAAAATATTGACGCCGGTCGCCGGTCGCCGGACAGACGACGGACACTGCGCCATGGCATAAGCTCACTTGGCCCTTTGGGCCAGGTGAGCTAATAATGCAGCAAAAAATTCCAGTTTGTGGCAACTTTAATACCTAGTTTGAGACTGAAAACAAACAGTAATAGAAAGCACATTATCTATGCTTTATTAACAAATATCTTCATACATCCAATTAAAACTGCATTCCATTCACCTTTTTTTTTTTTTTTTTTAATGTAGTAATAAAATATGAAGGGCAAAATTACCACAGACTGGAAATATTGATTTTACTGGCAAAGAGCGAATATTTTTCTGGGGGAAAGTTTCCTGGAATACAGAATTTCAATCTTAAATTCCACCCCTTTCAAAATTCAGAAAAATGATGTTCCTCCTTACCTGACAGTGGGTTCGACGTGCCAGGTATTGCACTCAAACTCACGCCAGTCCTGTTTCAGGGCTGTTGTGGGATGGGTTATCCTTTTCTTCTCAGACTCGGGAGATTTGGCAGACTTTGAACCTGAGCCATATGCACCTTTGGTTGGAAGAAAGACAATAAGACATGTGATGTGAAATCCCTTCAGGAACATGTTGACAGTTTCATTTTGTGCCATGAAATATCTAAAATAATCTCGATCCAACTTTCACCCATACCTGTTGTAAATCAAAATGTCAACTCTTGCACTGCCATCAGAATAAGTATTGTTGAGTCTGTCAAGGACAGTATGTATTTATAGTCAACAGAATAGTCTGACCTTGACCTTTGTTAATTAGGCATCCCCCACCCAACCTATCCACTCCCTACTCTAGGGAGTCAACGGACATGGATATCTTTTTACCATCATATAAAAGATGATGGGAACCTACTTTTTGTCTACTGATATCTTCAATGTCAATGCTTGTTTATTTAGGAGGCACAGTAGTGACTAGTCTCGTGGTAGGACGCTGGGCTCGTGACTGAAGGGTTGCAGGTTCAAGTCATGTCACGGCACACTGTTGTATCATTGAACAAGATGCTTTACTCTGCTTGTACATTGTTGGGTAGTGTTGGAATTGTTGAAATGGCAGCACTGGCTGTATGGTCCCCCAGGGAGCCGAGAAAAATATTTGCTGGTTGCAAAGGCCCAATAACATGTATAATAATTTGTGAACCACTCTGAGACAACCTACGACCTATGTTGTGATAAAGCGATAATCTGTACAGCTAAGCCTGGCTAATGCCATAGGCAGATTTTGACATTGTGCCAAGTTAACTCATAGGGGTATAATGTATTTTTTCTATTACAAACCTGGGATGAAACATGCTGATTTAGCAGCAGACTTTACCGCAATACATTCATCTACAGTAACAGATAATGACGGTTAGTCCTGTAAATAAGAGTGACCTACCTTTGTCCTTCTCTTTGATGTACATTGACACAAGGTCGTGCAGGAAGAGGATGACCTCTGCATCCATGGCAACAAAGATGTGGTCCTCGAACTCAGTGACAAAACTACAATCCACTTGAGGTTTAGGATCTAGAACAACATGAACAATTAAGTACAATCTCACCATGGACAAATATTTTCCATCCTTTAAACACTGTATACCGGGAAATTTTCGCTCAGTCAAATTTTCATCCTTCGCCCATGCAATCTATTTTCGCCAAGTTTTAATGTTGCCATGCACATTTAATTACTATATTTATAATTCTGTTTACTTTTATTTGCTGTGATAATAAATTCCCCCTTATTATAACAACAGATCCCAGTGGGACCTTGGCGCCCACCATTGTACCATTTCATAATGGCAATCCGGCCAATTATTTCGATAACAACAACAACCAAGTTACGGTAAACCTCTGGTCAGTTCAAACAAAATTAAATAAATATTGTCGATCCTGTTCGAACTACACAAACTTATAGCCGCTAAAATAAAGAGTAGTTCGAACTATCAGAGTGGACATGGGCAAAAATCACGGCAAACATTCAAGTCGTTGATACGGAACAACGATGGCCTTATTGCGATATATATTTGAAAATCTGGAAATGAATAGTGTTATATATATCTTTCTTATAATTACTTACATATTAATAATCAATTAAGTTCAATTGCAAAACAGAGACAATTATGCAGGCCGCAAAGCAGTATCGTCTAGTCATATCTTTCCGCGCGTTATGTATTTCTGCGCAGTCATTTTATCAAGCTATATCTCGTAACTACGTGAGTTGCTGGATACAACACAACGATATTTTAGACGTTTGGCCATCGTCTGTAAAACGACACAAAAGTTACCGGAAATTCGTCCGGAAAACATAAGAAATAATCACTGATTAAAAAAACACTTTTTATCTTGCTCAAAATGAGCCCACACCTGAAAAAAAGTGCTATGTTTCATTCATGAACCAGTCTTTTTTGTAGTCTGACAAATGTACGAAAATGTCGTACGCAAACGCCGATTTTTTTCCACTTCCAAAGAGCGAAGGTTTAAATGAAATGTAAACCTAAAAACGTAAAAAAAATAAACAATATAAAACTACAGGTATTCGTTCAAGTTGACATATTGAAAAATCAATGAAAAATGTGAAATTCTTAAAAATCAGTTTTGATAATAAATTTGACGATCAAAGATATTTTTTTTATACCAAACTAAGCTTTTGTTTCGTTAGGCCACTATGGGGAATTTATTTTTAGTGTATTCGAGTTATCTTTCTTTGAATACTAAATCAAAATAGACACACTGAAACTTATGAATGCTACTTCCAACGGGAGAAATTTGTTAAAAATTGTTTGTTCTGATTTTTTTAAATACAATTTTATGTTGCTAGTTTTTTGTTTCCATTAGTAGATTGTATACATGTTTATGACAGTCATCCATAATTTCAACAGTTTTCTGCCGATATGAGTACGAAATCGCGCTTGCTTCTTAAGTGTGTGGAAACCGGTAACACGAGGATAGATGTTTTCTCGAGTATTGACCAAAGTTCAGTTGTACTGATCAGAATGTGGAGGGTGGATTGAAACTGCAATTACGGATAAATAGTTTGATCGACCACCCGGGCAGATTTTTTTGTTTTGGCACATGTATAGGTAATATATCAATTAAGTTATGAATCAGTGATCTGTGGCCAGGTCGCAATTACATAATCAAATTGTTATCACAGTAATATCATGACAATACACACATCTGTCAGCAATGCGACGGTGACATTCCACGCTCCGTGTACTGTTAGGATATTATACATCGTCAGGGCCTAAAGATGACTGGCACGTGTACATTTTTACAAGAAAGAAACTCAATTATCGGTGACATGTGGCTTATTTATGTACAAATTGTCCAACATTGATGACAACAATGGTCGCACATGAGTACTTCCCGTTATTCAGTAGTTAAACCCTGTTAAACTCGAACTGACCTTACTGAATCTAAACCTTCGACCTCTAATTCTGACCTTGACCTTTCCATCACGGTCAAATAAATGTGTGTAACTGAAGACAGTTGCCTGTGTGCCCTACTTCACCCTTAAGGCTTGTGCCACGATTGTCACACACATGTCTACCTTCTGGAAGGGGCTCCGTTTCTGCCTGTTCATGGATTGTTTTGAGGTGCATCTGGAGGGATGGGAAAGCGAAGATGATCTCTGTGTCATGGTTATACTCCTGGGCCTTCCTGCTCCGTGCAGACTTGTAAGGGTCTGCCTGGGGATCCCCACTCTCACTCGACATCTCCGGAAAGGTGTCCAGCCCTACACAAAGTAATAGTTTGGTTCATTTTCTCCACCCTTACCATTTTATGAAACTATTTGGATATCAGATAAGCAATGTATATATGTTTTCAGTGTTATCAACAAGGAAGCACTAGAACAAATAACAAAGAAATCTCCTATAAAAATTAAACTGAAATGTAATAAGAATGCATTACATGTAATAAAATATATGCAGAAAAACAAAGTGGAATAAATTTAACTTTTTTTGCGCATGTTTTCGTATTAAAATAAAATTCATTGTATAGCTATAATTGTTTAGATTATACTGAATTTAGTGTTAACCTTTGATCTCAGTATCAGAATTTATGTAGGTTAAACTAAAAAAGAGTCTGGACTGACCTTTGACCTCAGATGTGGCAAAGGCATAGTGGAACCACTGCTGGACACTGGTGAAGGTCGGTGGCATGGAGTGGCCGCGGCTCAGCTTACAGATGGTGGCCATGTTCTTACTGCGGGTGTGGGCAGTCAGCTCATGTCCAATGTAAAACGTCAGATCTTCCACCACGTGGACGGCTGGTTAGGTATAAATTACAGATATATATTTTCTAAGATTGATGTGAGCAATCCATAATCCAAAACCCGGAGACAAACTTTCAAAATCACAAAATGGAAAAAGGACCATCACTCTGTTAATTGCAGGGGGTTGTGATCAGTTTTTAACATGGAACACATCCCAAATGGTACTCACGTATACCTGGTACATGAATTGTAGGTGAAAGATTACTTTATGCCAGGTGAATTTCAAAGCAGTGTTGTTGTTTTTTGTGTCTTTCACAGAAAGGTTTTGACTGCAAATTTAAGAATGTAGCAAACATTTCCAGTTTGTGGCATTATTATAAGATCTAGTTAGACACTGAAGAAAAGGTACCTGTACTCACTGTAAAATCACTGATTTTTTGGGAGATTTTTAATTTCGTTGATTTCTTTGATAATCTACATCAACTAATTCATTGGTCCACTAGGTAATTACAAGTTTGACTTAAAGCTCTCCTCCGTTAGAAGGGTACTAGTAATCCACAAATTCATGTACCCATGAAATGGTGATTTTTCAGGAAACCACAAAATAATATGTGTTTTCACACTAAAACTTGACAAGAGGCCCAAGAGGGCCTGTATCGCTCACCTGAATATTTAAGCAGTCCATAGCAAAATATTCTCATTAAATATTATATTGCACTAAAACTATTTCCCTCGCAAACTTTGTTGGCTCCATCTGTTGAAACTACCAGCAAAATATTATTATAAGATTCTATGCTTTTTGATTCTTCTTCAGAAGTTGCTTGACATACTTTTCCCTGTGATCTTGTAAGTAGGTCAATGTCATTTTCCTTCTCAAATTGGTTAGCTCTATTCCAAAAAGCTACCAGCCAAATCTTATGA